ATATGTGTATATATATATATAAATTTATGTGTATATGTGTAATGTATGTGTATATGTGTATGTGAATATACATATATATATGTATATGTATAATATATTTTTTATATTTTTTTTAAATTAAAAAAATATTTGCGACGGATTTTTCTGTCGCAAATCCGTAGTAAACGTAGATTTTTTTGTTTTTTTTTTAAATATTAAAAAAGATATTTGCGACAGATTTTTCTGTCGCAATTCTGTCGCAAAACTTGGATTTTGTCCGTCGCAACTTTGCGACAGATTAACGACCGGCAAACTTTTGCGACAACAATATACGGACAGAAATGATTCTGTCGCAATCTGTCGTAAATTTGTAATTGCGACAGATATTCTTTTGTATTTGCGAAAGATTTTTCTGTCGCAAATTTTGATGTTTCTTGTAGTGAGTGTACACTATATTTTATATTTAAAAGACTCACTCATTTAGACCTAGAATAAGCATAAGGCTTATTCATTAAGCGTGTGTTATCATATAAAGTTTGAAGAGACATTATATATTGTAATACATGGAAGATAATACTCGTATTAAGAGAACTTGTCGCCATGATTCATATATTATATTTCTTATTAAGAGTAATATATGGACCAAGTGGGAGAATGTTGGAAATTATTTTATTTATTAATTTCTATAATGTAGGAAGTTTATTAACTTCCGTAAATAACTTACCCATTATGGTGATGGTCCAATATTTACTCCATGTTCTGCTAACGGTCTTTGATAACCACTTGATAACTGAAATCTTTTTTGATGGGAAAAAGACTATAAAGATCACGTATAGTATTGAGGTCCCTAAGCCAAGCAAACTTTCAGAATATACACTATCATTATTGTGTTGCTCATGGTTTAGAAGCACCAAAGTATTCAGATTTCAACTCAATTTCAATGGCTGGAGGTATATTTTTTCCGATCCAGAATTTTATTTCCGCATTCATGATCTTGTATGTTAAAGTGTTGCATATTGAAGATCATGATTTAGATGAGTTTAAAGAATTTTAAACTTACATATCCATCACAGATGTAATGGCGCGGCTCAAACTCTCTTTCGAGAACCATCCCGTCTCGTCCCTCTGCACTTCAACTGTTCCTCTTCCCTTCACCCATTCCTCGAACCCTTCTGGCAAGGCTTCTTGAATTGTCAGATTTCCCTTTGGCGGCTTTAACGCCGCCACGGGAAAACTTGCCTCGTGACTACTCGCGAAGACGCAAACACTCCAATCAGAGGTCAGGCTTACCCACCGTCCTCTGCCCCGTTAAACGAGATTCTCGTCTTGAGGAACCCCAGAATTCATCATTCATGATGTGCCCCCAATCTTCATCATTCGCAACTGGCCAACAGTCAATCTTGGTGTCGCTTGTCAATTCTGTCTTCTCTTACGAGATTTCTATAGATCGAAAACTGTAGAAAAAAAATGCTTGAATGAAGTGCTGATCTCATAAAGTATTGAGCGCAGCGTGTTTGCCACCACAGCACCTGCGGTAGACAAGCTCCATACCTAAACATAGTTCTTGGAATTGATCTTTTTCGAGAATGATTTGGCTTCCAAATGCGCAGAACATCCCTGAACTTGGTTCGAACCCACTTAGCTAGTTACTCCAATGGTTGTCTTCTTCTTCTTGTGGGTTGGTCTTGTCAGGATCAGGGAGGATTGGACCAGTCAAAAGATCCCTCTTCTGGCATTGATTCTCAACATATTCACAGAAATTCCCTTCAAGTTCTCGTATGTCCTTAAACATATGGCATCGCATTTCGTAAGAGCCGTAACGTTTCGGTTATAAAACGGCTGTCCCCTCTCCACATGGGAACGAGAGAAACAACAAGGAACGAGCCTCGTGTCTGCAGAATAAAACCTTGGAAGAAGGATATCCAGGTGGAGGGAAAACTTCCTCCTCCTCGGTTACAAGCTCATCTCTATCCGGAACAAGCGAGATAGCTGCTGACGCAGCAGAAGCCGTGACATAACATACGGTCTTGATCCCAATCTTTTTGCCGATAACTTGAGCAAAATCATAAAATATCAAATAGGGTTTTGCAGAAAGAACCGTGGCTTCAACATAGTTGAGTGTGAGGTCCATTGCAAAAGCCAGGGAGCTGTAGAGAGAAGAAGAATATCTGAGGCCGTCTCTACACTTGCAGGAAGACCATCCACTGTAGGAACACTGACAAGATGGAAAACGATGCTGTCTGGATGTAGATTCATGTTCCAGTCGTGCTCGAGCTTTCTTGGGCGGCAAGTAAGTTACTCTGACACTCTTCAGCTAATTTGTTTGCCCAAGAACGGAGTCATATGACCAAATGCAAACCATGGAAACACAAGAACATGAATCTTGGAACCGAACAGTCATTTCAAGACTCCATGAAGGTTGAATGATTCTTGAGGTTGTTATGAAAAATGCAACTTAACATTCATAATTCATTGTTTAAGAAACCGAACATTCAGTTCAAGAATACAGTTGGGCTTCGTTTTAGTATATCAACGCTTTCAACGGATTTACAGAAGTTGCAGAGAATCATAGAAACATAACTGAAATCGAAGAACTTAACGGAATTAACTTGGATTCATTTGACTCAGTTTACGTGAAGATCGAAATCATGGAATGAGGAGTTGAAGCAAGCTTTGCTCAAACTTACTGATATAACTCTCTGAAAAACCAGACTCACCCAATACATCTTTCCACTTCTTGTGGTTCTTCCTCACAATCTCTCCGATTTCACTGTCTTTATCCATCACGCTCTTCACTGCGTCCTTCAAGCTGTGCCGGGAAAACCATCCATTCTCTTCCCTTTTCACCTCCACAGCCACTTCCATCTCCTCTGACATTAACTTAGCGTTCAAGATCTGTTCCCCGAGGTGAGGAACCAACACTATCTGGCAATCCCTCAACAGAGATTCCCACATTGACCCGAACCCGCAATGGCTAACGAAGCAACCGACCGACGGGTGGTCCAATATCAATGGCTGCTGGACCCACCCTCCGTACACAACTCCTCTTCCTTTGACCCTCTCTTCAAACCCTTCAGGCAAGGCTTCTTCCACTGTCGAGAACCCTGAAGGAGGCTTTAAGGCAATCAAGAAAGGTAAACCTGTGAGTTCAAGCCCTAAACACACTTCTTGAAATTGCTCGAGCTTGTCCAGTACAGGTTGGCTTCCGAAGGCGCAGTACACGACCGAGCCAGGCTCGAATTTACTTAGCCAATCTGCCCACCTCGGTTCCAATGCTGCCTGATCGCTCGGTTTGGTGTCTGGAAGTACAGGTCCTGTCAGGTAAACCGGTCTGTTGTATTGGCTAGAGATGAACTCGCAGAACTTTCCTTCGATCTCCCGGCAAGTCCTTATGGCAATGGCGTCGCAGTTTCTAAGTGTAGAGACTTTCTTTTCGAAGAACGAAACCAGACCCTCGAACCGCTTCCATAGAAACCCTAGAGTTCTTGCTTCATGCGCACGCAATACCACTTTCGAAGATGGGTAACCAGGAGGTGGCCTCGAGAGCTCGTCCCCTGAAAGCATCGCACCATCGGCCATTTCACGAGCAGCCGCAGGGACTAAGGTCAATGCTATAGATGCTGCGCTCGCGGTGTCGAAGCAAACAGTCTTGGCACCGACCGGTGCAGAGATTCCAGGGACCCAATCGGCGAAATCGTAGAAGACCAAGTCCGGTTTGACTGTTCGGACAACGGTCTCGACTTCAGGACGCGTCCTGTCCATAGCAACAGCCAGCAAATGGGTCAAGAAGATGGGCACGTCGGAATTGGTCTCGGCGCCGAGGGGAAGGCCATGGACGTGAGGGATGGAGATGGTCCGGAAAGTGATGAGATTAGGGTGGAGATTGATGGGTTCGAGATGGGCTCGAGCTTTCTTGGGAAGCAAGAAAACGATTCTGTGTCCTTTCTCTGCCAATTTGTTGGAGAGATGAAGGAACGCAGTCATGTGACCTAAAGCTAACCACGGATACATCACTATGCTCATGCTTGAGCCCTCTGTTCCAAACCTCTCCATTTCTTTTTCTTTTTTTTTTAAAATTTTCAATCCAATTTATGATTTTTGTTTCGCATACGAAGAAATGTATATATATGTGTGACAGTGACCAAATAGATGGTTTGGTGGTGGGTGACTCGTGGTGGATGATGGATTTTGGTTTGTTGGCTAACTAAATGAGGTGGCAGGTGGATGTGGTAAGTGTGAACACATGAGATTGAGCCAAGCATTTATGAGCCGTATAATTGTAAATAATGGGCCAAAGGGCCCATTCATGTTATGCCCAGTGGGCTTAAATCGGATATTTTGGACTAACCGAAGTTGATCATGATTCCTGAATTTGATCAAATCACAGAATGTTCTAAATTGTCCATTAAAAAAAAAATCACAACGTTTATCATTAAACAAAAAATCGTAAGCCCCTCGTGTAAATGTAGATGATGATTACCATGAATCTTACGCATGTTCAAGTCCCTCTGGAATGAAATGTATGAAAATGGGAATACAACTCAAAAGAGCTGAAATGGGAGAGAACAATTAGGCAGTGGCGGCCTCTTCTTTGGGTGGTGGCTCAGTCTCGGCGGGAGCTTCCTTGGGATCCTCAGCGACTGCTGCTGGCTTGGCCTCCTCCTCCTCTGCTTCCTTCTCTTCATCTGCCACTTCCTTCTTCTCAGCAACAGCTTCCTCTGCTTTCTCCTGCAACTCACCCCAACAAAAATAAATTATTAGGCATTCTTTCATGGAAGAGTCGAGTTATACGATCGCTTTCCAGCCAGAAAAAGAAAGGGGGTCCCGAGATGGTTTCATGTGCAAGCCCAGACAACTATCACCATCATGGGTTGGTTAATAACCAAACTGATTCGAATCGAATAATATATATATATATATATATATATATATATAACTATCGCCATTGCATACCCAAACTGTAATACCCCCAATGCAAGAGTGATGAACAATTTGACTATCCGCTCTCCATCCATGACAAAGGAAAAAAGTGAATGAATCAATGAACTGTTAGATAGAGAGAGATTCATAAAAACCTCGGCAGCGGTCACTGTCTCGACGTTCTTGGCCTCGACAGCGTCAGTCGGAGGAGGGTCAACAGGGGCAGACTCCTCGATGATATCAGACTCCTTAGGTTTGCTCGCACAGCCTCCCATGGTTCTCGTTCCAAACGGTTATTACTAAAAAACGAACGAACAATGGGACGGAGCTGTGGAGCGAAGGGGCCTGTGGAAAACTCCTTCACAAAAGAAAAATCAGTCAAAAGATGAAAATTCAAGGCTGAGCAAATTGAGAAGATGGAAAAGAGGGGGTTTATATAACAGAGGAGGAGACATGCTATTTATGGTAATGTCCCAAACATGGTCAGATTCGGACACCGTAGTTTTCTCTGTTGGAGCTATTCAACCGTTGGGACGAAAGCCAACCTGGTCTTCTCGTTTTCCTTTCTCTTTCTTTACATTGGTCCCTTGTATTCTCCACCATTCCTCTTCCATTTCCCAGTTCTTTTGAGGATCTTGTTTCTTTTTCTATTGTTAAGACCTGAGAGAGAAGCTACCAGTCCATCCATTGAAAACAAAATAACAAAGATCAAAGACACAAAATTCAGATTCGTTTTCTATTTCGAAAATGGTGAAGTTCTAGAAGCCCGAGGCAAAGAAAAGATTGTGCCTCATGTTCAGCAACCATGGTTACTCCTTAGTGGGGTTGGCAGCAGTACTCGGAACCAACATTGTTGTCCCCTAACCAAAAACATCATGGATTAGAAGATCTAAAAATCTAAGAGAAGATTATTACAATTTATAACGAGACATAGAAGATATATGGGATGAGGTGACAAACTATATAAATAAAATGGCTCACCACCATGGCAATGCTGCCCAACGCATTATTAGTGTTTTGCCCTGCAACTCTCAAGCTAGCTGCCTGCAAAATCACGACACGATGAAACATAAGGCCACAGTTATGTTATGATTCAGCAAAAAAATCAACACTTCTGATGAGAACAAGGAGCTATCAGAACATTTATCTAGAGAGAATTTCTGGAAATCGCATTTTAATAGTAAACCTAAGGCATTGGTTGTTGAAATGAAACCAAGTGAAATTGAAGAATTAAACAGAAACGAAACATTTAATTACCTTTCAGATTCAAGGATTTGGGCTCTCTTTATACGTTCAGATTTAGCTTGCATTTCCATGGCGGCTCTCACTCAATGTTGGAGCCATAATATCCCCTGAAAATAGAAATCAATTAGAAACAAGCAAAAAGTGTTCAATTTCACGCCAGGAAGGAGGCAACAAAAAGTTGTAGAGAGCAATTAAAAAGTACCTCGCTAATCTCATAACTGAAGCAACCAATCTTTTGCAGCAACACTGATTGCTTCCTGCGAGAATTACGATCACATATCGAAACATCCATCATTTCTTTCTTCGTCCATGGTTTGAGATTTGGAAAATTTTCATGACGAACACAATACACAACCCAAATTCTAACATCCAACAAATATACTGAGTGGAGACCCAAACTAAAAGCTTAAATCTAACACCCTTTTACAAATTCGAACAAAATTAGAATCCAAGCTCATAACTGGAAATTGCGAAACCGAAACGGAAAAAAAAAAAAGTGATATTGAATTCTTTAGACATGAAAAGGAGCATATGATGTGTAACTTTAAAGAAAGTTTCGAGTAATGAAACTGGTAACAGAGAGAACGAAGAGAGAAGCGTGAAGAACGAACCACTATCTTCTCATTGAGAGTGTCCCTTTCTTCAAAAGCCTTGTCAAGGTGTGATCTTACTGCGCATTGTAGTCTGAGCTAACTGTGCAACCGCATATATACGATTTTCGACCCCATATGAAGCCAATTTAGGATCACTATCTGCAAGAAGCTTGTATCAATGGAAAAAAAATCAGTATAAACAAACAAGGACCAAGACGGGAAAACAAAGAACAACCAGCAATTGGTAAAAGGGGTGAATACGACCTTAAATGTGGATGCTGACATTATCTTTTGGGATTGCAGAATGGTTCAGAATCGGAATGGCTTCTTCCTTGAGGGAATGGATATATGCAATACGATCCACAAGTGGAATGAGGAAATGAATCCCAGACGGCAGCGTCTACACGTACTTCCCAAACCGCTCGATCACATACGTCTTCCTCTCCGGCACAATCCGGATCACCGGCGGCGTTATCTGGTAACGACACATCATTCTCCAAGCCTCCATAGAATTCAGAAATCGAAGAAAACAAATTCATTCAGATTTCTCAGAGCACAAAAAAATCGCAAACGGGAAAAACCTGTTGAAGGGATAACGGCCGAAGCTAAAGTGGCGGCCGGCGGTGGAAGTATCGGAGAGACCTCATGGCGACAGAATGTGTACGGACGAGCCGGTTCATCTTTGGGACTGGAACTGGGAAACAGTGGGGAAGGCAAAACCCCAAGCAAAACTGAAAACCTCTATATCTAAGCGATCCTTGAAGAAATGTTCATCGCAGAATCACGAAGACTGGATTCAGTTATTGGGCTCATAAAAACCTTAATGGGCCTTTTTATTGGGCCAATGCCCAATTCTTTCTTAATTACTTGATATTGTTTGCTTAGATGTTCTGAATTATATTATATATATATATATATATATGATTTTTAAATAATTTTATATTTGTAGAATTTAAAAGGGAAAATTTGTATAAATGTACAAAAAAAAAAGTCTTTGCATTCTATATTTCTACTATTGTAATTTTTGTATTCTATATTTTTTTGAGTTAAAATGACCATAATATCCTTCTATATTATTATAACCTGCAGATTTTCTCTATATATAAAAAAACACTGGCATGAATTTTGTTTTCTCTATATACATGAAAAAACACTTATATGAATTTTGTTTTCTTATATAAGTATAGAAAAACACTTGCATGGGTTTCGTGAAAAAACACTGGCAGGTTAGCACGTGCGATAGGTGTTGTAGATGCCAAAGATGACATGTTGCAGGCAACAGGTCATCTGACAGACCGTAGGTCATCTGCCGTAGACTGTAGGTCATTTACCGCGGAGCGTAGGTCATTTTTCACAAAAGGTCATCTTTTACAAAAAAAAAAATTTACAGACATTTCATCAAACACCTTATGTGCATACAAAAAAATGATCAGAATATCACAGAAAAAGAAATCAACCAGAAGAGTATTTGAATAGATTAGATAAACCGTAAGAAATAGAGAAAGAGAAAATGTTGGAGAAAAAATAAGATCAAATAACAAAGCATTCTCATTTCTAAAAGATAGATTGTCACAAAAAAATATTTCTTTGAATTTCGTTTTTCTCTACATACATGAAAAAACACTTATATAGATTTTGTTTTCTTATATAAGTATAGAAAAACACTTGCATAGGTTTCGCGAAAAAAACACTTGCAGGTTAGCAGGTGCGATAGGTGCCGTAAGTGCCAAAGATGACCTGCCGCAGGCAACAGGTCATTTGGCAGACCGCATGTCATCTGCCGTAGGCTGTAGATCATTTACCGCAGAGCGTAGGTCATTTTTCACAGAGGGTATGTCATCTTCTACAATTTTCTTTTACAGACATTTCATCAAACACCTTCTATGCATACAAAAAAATGATCAGAATATCATAAAAAAGGAAATCAACCAGAAAAGTATTTGAATAGATTAGATAAACCGTAAGAAATAGAGAAGATACAGAAAATGTTGGAGAAAAAATAAGATCAAATAACAAAGCGTTCCGATTTCTAAAAGATAGATTGTCACAAAAAAATACTTCCATGAATTTCGTTTTTCTCCACATATATGAAAAAACACTTATATGGATTTTGTTTTCTTATATAAGTATAGAAAAACAATTGCATATGTTTCGTGAAAAAGTACTTGTAGGTCAGCAGGTCATCAGGCTGCATGTCGCAGGTGACGTGCTGCATATCGTAAGTCACATGTGACATGTCACAGGTGACCTGCCGCATGTCGTAGGTGACCTGCTGTAGGCCGCAAGACACATACTGGAACCTGCCGCCATTTTCTATTTCAAGAATTTCATCAAATACCTTGTATGTAGAAACTAAAATGATCATATGAATACTACAGAAAAAGAAATCATGCAGAAGAATATTTGATTGATGAGATAAACTGTAAGAAATAGAGAATATAGAAAAAATATTAGAGAAAACAGAACGACAAATCTCAAAATGCACTGATTTCTAAACTACAGATTATCACATAATCGTAGAGAGATATAGACAATAATATTTGGTCGAACCAGCAAAAGGATCGAGAGAATAGGTAAATGGACATGATCGTAATTACCGTTAATTATTTGGTTGCATTTGCATTATGTTCAACGGTCGTAATTATAGTTAATTATCTAGTCGTATTTGTATTATGTTCGTAATATAATCATGGTCGTAATTATCTGATCGTAGTCGTAGTTATATGGCCGTAATGAGTAGTCGTAGTTATATAGTCGTAGTGAGTCGTAGTCGTAGTTATATGGTCGTAATAAAATCACACTCGTAATTATTTGGTCGTAGTCGTAGTTATATGGTCGTAATGAGTCGTAGTGAGTCATAGTTATATGGTCGTAGTGAGTTAGTCGTAGTTATATGGTCGTAATGAAATCACAGTCGTAATTATCTGGTCGTAGTTATATGGTCGTAGTGAGTCGTATATAGTCGTAGTGAGTCGTAGTCATAGTTATATGGTCGTAATTAGTCATAGTCGTAGTTATATGGTCGTAGTGAGTCGTAGTGAGTCGTAGTTTATGCTCGTAGTGAGTCACAGTCATAGTTATATGGTCGTAATGAAATCACAGTCGTAATTATCTAGTCGTAATCGTAGTTATATGGTCGTAGTGAGCCGTATATGGTCGTAGTGAGTCGTAGTCGTAGTTATATGGTCGTAATGAAATCACAGTCCATAGTCGCAGCTCCGCAGGGTGATAGCCGCACGTCCGTAGGTCCGCAGGGCGATAGCCGCAGATCCGCAGGACGATAGTCGTAGGTCCGCAGATGTGCAGGGCGATAGCCGCAGGTCCGCAGGGCGATAGCCGTAGGTCCGTAGGTCCGCAGGGCGATAGCCGTATGCCCGCAGGTCTGCAGAGCGATAGCCGCAGGTCCGTAGGTTCGCAGGGCGATAGCCGCATGCCCAGGTCCGCTGGGTGATAGTCGCAGGTCCGTAGGTCCGCAGGGCGATAGCCGCAGGTGCGCAGGGCGATAGCCGCAGGGCCGCAGGGCGATAGCTGTAGGTCCATAGGCCAAATGACCTGTCGCAGACCGCAAATCATCTGCCAGAGACCATGGGTCATTTAACGCATAACGCATGTCATTTTTCATAGATCGCAGGTCATCTACCACAATTTTCTGGTACAGACATTTCATCAAACACTTTATGTGCATGCAAAAAAAAGATCAGAATATCGTAGAAAAAAATCAACGAGAAAAGTATTTGAATAGATTAGATAAACTATATAAGAAATAGAGAAGATAAAGAAAATATTGGAGAAAAAAGAAGATCAAATAGCAAAACTTATCGATTTTTGAAAGATAGATTATCACACAATCGTAGAGAAATATTGTAAATGATAGTTTGGGTATTTAGAAAAAAATATATATCATGTAAAAGTTATTTTTTTGTGAGATATTTTGCAAATTTCGTTTTTGTTTTGGTACAGTTTACCAACTATCCCAATTTTAAAATGTATAATTAACTCCATTTTGAGAACCATCAGGTCCAATATGATCTTTTCGTTTTTGAAAATGTAAAAGCAGAAGAATATATTTAGAATTTGGAAAATGAACGTGGAGGAGATTTAAAGACAATGACCCATGAATATCGCCAAGGAGCGGGAAGGCCAATAGCAAGAGGTGGGCGATGAATGTCCGAGAATATCTAACCAATTTCACAAAACTTTCGGCAAATTCCATATTCCAATAATTTATTAATTTACCAATAAAGGAAATTTATATATATATATATATATATATTCTTTTGAGAAAGAGAGGAATAATCTTTAGATTAACTTTTGAAGCTTTGACTATTATATGATTTATTTATATTTTGCATCATTCGTTTTTATACAAGATCATGAATTAATATTATACAAAATTACAAGTTCAAGAATTTTTAGATATTTTTATCTGTTTTTAATCATCTGAATCCTTATAATTGTGTTTTTTTTTCATCTCATCGTTGAATTCTTTACTAAGTTGGATATTTTGGGTTTAGATCATATTTTGATTCAATTATTTTGATAGTTTGATATTTTTTGATTCTGTAGAGTTTATATAGAATATGTTTTGTATAGTTTCGTTCGATTTAAATTGTTTTAGAATTCAGTTTATATATATATTCTAAAAAAATTGATTTAACATTTTTTTTGTAGTTTTCATTTAAATTCGAATTTAATTCAATTTTTAATTTTTTTAAAAACTATGCAAATGATTTTTTAATTAAACTAGTTTCGAATACTGCTAAAAATAAATGATTTTAATATATTATTATTAAAAGTTAAATTCATACTTAAAGTTATATACCAAAACCAAAATATCATCAAAATATCTACCCCATTTTTTCATAAATCTCAATGGATTTAACATTTGATGTGAAGTGTTTTATAATTTATAGTTATCCAAAAGGAGACAAGAACCGCTTTGGCACCATAATTATGTCTTATACAATGCTTCATATAAAGATAACGTAAAATATTTTTTTAGGGAGGACAAAAAAAAAGCAAATGGTATTTTATGGTGGTTTGCCAAAAAAAAAAAAATTAAATGGACCGCCCGCCGATCGTGCGTCGCTTGAAAGCCAACTTTATGGCGATAATGGAAAATAAAATAAAATGAAAAATGAAAAACAAAAGTGACCATCATGTTGAAAAAATGACGAACAAAGTGGACAATAAATAGAAAAAGGAAATAAAAAAGACCACAAATTATAATATAATAAAATAAATAATGATTTTTCGGTCACTATCGCTACGTAACGGGACACACATCGTTGGTCCGACACCATACACGTACAGAGTGCTTCGCCATGTCAGATCCATACACACAAACACGTCTATACACACACACACATATAAAGCAATACATGCACACGCACACATACACAGGCACTTGTTCATGTGTATGTATCGGTGTAAGATTATGATACGTACGTATATATATATGTGTGTGTACGTGAAGAAGGCGAAGCGGAGGAACTAAAATAGCCGAAGCGGAAATTCATCTGAAGTTGCTAAATTTGGAAGAGGGTTTTTTTTTTGAAATTTTTTTTGTTGCTGATTACAAAAGAAGGTGGAAGTTCGAGGAAAATCAGGCGGTCGCGAAGTTTTTTTTCTTTTCATTTTGATTCTGGAGGTTTTTTTTATAATCAGAAGAGAAGCGACCGCCGAGGGTTAACCGTCACCGAAGCTGACGCCGACGGCGAACGTTCTTTGATTTTCCGGCGGATTTTTGGAGGGAAACGGGGAAAGTGATGAAGGGGAGGATTTCGAAGATCGGAAGCTACGCGATCGCGTCTTCCATCAGAGACCAGCATCAGCAGCCTTGCATTTCCTGTACCACTTTCAACATCCTCGCTCCGATCTACAAGCGCCTTTCTCAGAAGGTCCTTTTCCCCCCTCTTTTCCTCCTACGGTTTCTAGGGTTTTTCCTGGGTATGTTTGTGTATTTGTGTATGTAAATGCTTGGGGAGGAATGCAGGATCAGAGCCGCAGAGAAAGCGACTACAAGGCGTATTGGATGGGCAGGAACCACAGAATTCTCGATTGGTTATTGTACGAGAGATCCTCCATTATCTGTTTGCAGGTTCGTCCGTGCTCCATGGAATGTCCTGCAATTTTTGTTTCTTACCTTCAAATGTTTGGTTTCATGGATTCGCCATGGATGCAGGAGTTTTGGGTAGGAAACGAAGAGCTTGTTAATTTGTACGAGAAAAGACTCGGAGACGCTGGTTATCTGAGTTACAAGCTTGCTCGAACCAACAACCGTGGGGATGGTACATTTTCTTGAATCTCTTTCACAGATTAGCAAATTTATCCTCGTACTCGCGAAATCATGATGATGGAACAGAGGTTTTAGCGTCCATCCTTCTCCAATGTCCTTGATGGTTTATGGATCTTGGCAATTTAATAGGTCTTCTTACGGCTGTACATAAGGACTATTTTAGAGTTGTCAACTACCGGGAGTTACTCTTCAACGATTGCGGAGACCGTGTTGCGCAATTGTTGCATGTCGAGTTAGCTCTTCCCCTGTCCAAGTGTCCAAACAACGACTCGTCCCAAGAAGTTCTCATCGTAAACACCCACTTGTTGTTTCCTCATGATTCAACTCTATCCATAGTAAGACTGCAACAGGTATATTTCTCTCAACCTCTGTAACCTGAATTTTGATGTCAACTCAGTTTCTGAAACATGGGGTTTCATTGTCAGGTATATAAAATTTTGCAGTATGTGGAATCTTATCTGAAAGAAGTCAATCTTAGTCCCATGCCTATTATGCTTTGCGGGTAAATACAACATCAGCATGTTACATTTGTAGATGGCTTACATTTGAGGATCGACTTTTAGTCACTCCTTTGCTTCCATGTATTTATATCATTGTGGCAGAGATTGGAATGGAAGTAAACGTGGCCATGTCTACAAGTTTCTGAGGTCACAGGGCTTTGTTTCGTCTTATGACACTGCTCATCGATATACAGATGCAGATGCTCACAAGGTCACTGTCTTTTTTTCCATTTGGATATGCCGGATCCCTCCTTTGATTGATGTATTAATTCGGTACTCAGATTTCCGAGTTGCTTTATATTTGCATAACAGTGGGTAAGCCACCGAAACCACCGAGGAAATATATGTGCCGTCGACTTTATCTGGCTTCTCAATCCAAATAGGTACATAAAGCTTCTGAAAACAAGCTGGAGTGAGGCAGTGTTTGGCATGTTTAAGGTGGGAGGCCCCCTTCTCTTCTTTCCTTTATTCTCTGTGTCATATTTTGCATCTCTTGCTGGAATTCAGCCTGTCCATCCATATCGATAGGCCCTTGTTTAAATTCCTTGATTCTTTAAAGGGAATTTCCCCTTGAATCGTAGAAACTTGAAGTAGGCAAGACAACCTCTCTATTTGATACCGAAGAAGAGCTGGTTTTCGTGCTATAGCATCACAACTTTATGTTCATATTCGGATATGAAACAAAGAATTCGTCTTCAGAAGATTGATGGGACAGAGTGTTTTATGCCTTCCTCTTGTAATGGGGGGGTATTTGATTTCAGTATCTACTGAGGAGAGCCTCCCTGACAGCAGAAGACGCATTTGCCTTTCTGAAAGCCGACAATAATGTCGACTACATCGCATACGCAGGCTTCTGTGAGGCTCTTCGACAGGTATATATATAATATGGTTAATGGTCTTGCTATAAGATGCTTTTGATTCTCTTTTGCCTTCTCCAATGGAATATGGGTACGGATTTTTTTAACCAGCAGTGTTCTTGCAGCTCAATTTAACAGGTCACTGCAATGGACTCACCACAAGAGAGGTGAAGGATCTATGGATCCAAGCCGACATTGATGGAAATGGCGTTCTGGATTACAAAGAGTTTCAGGTAATGTTCATAATGCAGGTGGCTATGAAATTTCTCTTCATGGCCCTCAATTCTTGACTTGTTTCCTGCTGCATAACAAGATGACAGCTAAGTATCATCATGTAACCCTCAAATTGCAGCAAAGAATTTGGAACCCTACCTGGTCAGAACAAAGAGATGAGATCAGTGGAGGCGATGAGAGGGATGGCGAAAGGAAGAAGGGTAATGAAGAGCAAACCATCGGTTTCAGCGTAAAGAACGCGGTCCTGTTTCCGCCTGAAGTTGAAAAAGGAATGTGGCCGGAGAACTACTCTCTTTCAGATCACGCCCGGCTCACCGTCGTTTTCTCGCCGATACGGATGCCGTGCTCTCAGTCGGTTTCATGACAAAACAAAACAAAGACTCGGTTCCGGAAAGAAGCACGAAAGAGTTATCGGGCCCATCTGCTTTGAGAGGCTCGGGTTTGTCTGAAATTGCAGCAGAGTCTGTAACCAAAACCGGCTCTGACTCTTGAAGCAGGTTTTGGTTCGGTGGACTTTGGAAGAGATGAGCCGGCGGCTCTCTCCCGATGGTTCTGTGCCTTCGGGAAGAAGAGGAAGCAGAAGGGTAAATAAGATAATTTTTTATACATATACAAAACTTGAAACCATATACGACACAAGCTTCATGTATAGTCGTGGAGTAATTTTTTTTTACAGTAGGAAAAAAATTTAACCTTTTTTTTGGGAGGGGAGAGGAATGTTTTACTGTAAAGCTCTTGTCTGTAGAAAATAAAAAAGTACTGTGGCATCTCTCAATCTCAATCAAGTTGCAATTACCTTTATTTACCTTTTTTTTTTCTTTGGTTTGGTAGACGGATTTCAAAGCGAGATCGAAAGTCGAAAAATGAAGGAGAGAAGTGCTCTGCTGCTCTGTTCTAAGTTTCCAACGGTTATTTAACAGCCAACCGCCAACGCGTAGATAGACTGAATTACCCCTGAGTTCGTTTTTAAGGACAGATCTTAACGTACCGTACGTTTTTCTTCCTGCAAACCCTCTAGTTGGAACCGAAAGTTCCTGCCCTTTCAAACTAAGCTTTGTACATTGAAGAACTCGGACAAGTCGTAGTACATTTGTAGATCTCCTCTTTGTACCTTTTTTTTTTCTTCATCTTCTTGTATATTAAACTTGAGAAATTTAAAAAAATAAATAAACAAAATAATAATCAAAAGGGTTTGTTTTTGTTTCGGAGATGGCCGGTCAGTTGTAAGTGATGGGGTTTCACATGGGTGGGACTTTGAAGTCTAAATGATGTCCGACAAAAACTCGTACGGCGAAAGGGTGGTAATGACGAGATCAGCCATTAACTAATGTGGTCTCTTTGCATGTCCACGTATGCATGAATATTACTGTACGTGACAGAGAACTTTACCACGTCACATCTCTTAATCACCCACATTGGCTGAAAATTAAAGCTTTTTGCTGCGGAAAATTACATAAATATTTTTTTTTTTAAATAAAGTTTCCGAACTATTAACTTATTTTTGCACAAACAAATATCTTCACCACATAGCATTCGAATTTCGAGCAACGGATGCAAAAACTCAACCACATGATATCTAATTATATTCAAATAGATTTTGATTCATTTATCGGATACAAATTTTTAATCGATTTCAACCAAAAACAAAAATACAAAATAAACACGCAGAAATATATATATATATATATATATATATATATAAAAGGCCAAAACTTTTCATTTTTAGATTGGATTATAGCCGGAGATTTCTACCTGAAAATAACCAAACCCAAACCCTTAACGTATCTATATTTAGCCCTAACCTAATCACACTATTAGACTGATTGGGATTCACCGACCATAAACACGCAGAAATTTGCATGTCTAACGACAAATGATATGTTGTGTATTCCTCAAATCATCATGTGAATAGGATGTATAATGATAATTGTTGATAGCAAACCCCATATTTTGCTCTTTTAATGCCTGACGGGACTTGGGATGATACTATACAAGTGAGACTAATTCAATGGATTTAGAAATCGGTTAGGCACTGGAGTATAGTATTATATTGTGTGTATACAGGTTTTCCCCTATTTCACCTGTAACCATAATGATTGGGTTCGTGTTTATTATTGATATTGATATGATGTTTCTTTTTTTCCCCTTAGAAAAAAGTCACTAGTTTCAATTCAATTATATATGCAACTTGTGTATTTAAAAAAAATTATATATCTAGGGATCCGTATATAACTTAGTTATTGTATATATATATATATACACACACGCGCGTATATGGGATCCAAGGAATGGGAAAATGCTCATCGTTATGGAGCAAGTCATTAAAAAACTGTTATATCTGCTTTAGATGAAAGATATGTATAATATACAATGCGGTTTTCATAATTTTTAGGTTAATAATAGCTTCGGAGGAAAAAAAAGGTAAACGACAAACCAACAATGGCTGATGAAAAAAAAGGCAGCATCTAATCTATCTATCCAATGGAAATTAAAGCACATTATAGGGAAATGAACATGTCACATGGATAACAAATGTAACCTCGAGAACGGCCAATAAAAAAAATTAAAAAAAAAAGCTAGAGAGAGAGAGAGAGAAGCAAAGAGATCTAAGAGAAAGCCATTTTCCGACATACAAAACAAAAGCGATGACACACTTAACATCGAATCCAAGTCATTAGTCCATAAAGACACCAATCCCTGCATGCCATCTGTCCCCTGCAAAGCATATAACCCTCGACCGCATTAACATGCATGCAAAGTTACGTTCAACCAAAAAGGCATTAAATTTCAGAAAATATAGATATAATTGTGTGTGTGTGTGTGTGTATATATATGTGGATGCCGAAGGAATGGGCATAGAGGATTTGGAGAACAATGGCGGATAAGCAAATAGTTGTGGTGAACAAGAAGGTCGAGGCTCAGTACGTGGAGATGATGGTCCCTTTGTATTCTTATGGATGCGAGAAGAAAGTCAAGAAGGCCCTTTCCCACCTTAAAGGTTAAGTTTTCAAATCGATACTATATATATATATATATATATACACATATATAGTACTATAGAATACAATTGTTCAACAAATATGCCACATGAAGGGTTGTATACCCTTCTTATACGTGACAAATACGATCAATTGAACAGGAATATACTCGGTGAACGTAGACTACTGCCAACAGAAAGTTACAGTGTGGGGAATATGCAACAAATTCGACGTGCTATCGACTATCAAATCGAAGCGTAAGGAAGCTCGATTTTGGAATCTAGACGACAATATGGATCGCGAAGAGGCCGTCGAAGAAGAGTCCAAGAATTCAAAGGCTTCAACGTTCATCAAACCCTCATTGTCGCTGATTAGAAGCAATTCATTTAGTTGGAGAGCCGTGAAAAAGGTCTTCTCGAGGTCCCATTCCTTCTGACTTACGTTTGATTTTCTGTGCGATAACGTTCACGTGCTCCGCGTTGGATATGTCGATGTACAGAAAATCCTTAGTGTGTAATAACGCTAAAAGTCTTTGATCTTATTTGAGACTTTTTTGTGTCTATGTCTCGTTGAATAATCTTTGCTTGGGTTATTACAAAAGTTCGAGCTGAGGGGACACAATAAAAAATCTTGCGTTTTCTCTGAAATTAATTGATCTATTGTGATGATGCAAAACAAATTTTCGTGTTCCAAATTCAATATTTCATATGGTTAAACCATTCTTAAGATATATTAATATAAAGAAGTTAGATAAATTCGGATATGTATTTAGTTAACTTTATTCTATTTGTTATTTTTACATATCTAATTTTATGTATGTATGTATGTATGTATGTATGTATGTATGTATGTATGTATGTATGTATGTATGTATGTATGTATGTATGTATGTATGTATGTATGTATGTATGTATGTATGTATGTATGTATGTATGTATGTATGTATGTATGTATGTATGTATGTATGTATGTATGTATGTATGTATGTATGTATGTATGTATGTATGTATGTATGTATGTATGTATGTATGTATGTATGTATGTATGTATGTATGTATGTATGTATGTATGTATGTATGTATGTATGTATGTATGTATGTATGTATGTATGTATGTATGTATGTATGTATGTATGTATGTATGTATGTATGTATGTATGTATGTATGTATGTATGTATGTATGTATGTCTAAAATTTGTTCCACAAATCACGAGGAATTTCTCATTTATGGCAACCTTCATAATTCAAACCAAGTTGTATGTCATCCCATCAACATCCGTTTCTTTAATTAACTGATTTTTCTTCTTTTCCTAGTTGGATTAGTCATAAATGATTATTTATATAACTTTTATTTTTCATTCACTATTCAATAATTTGATTTTGAATGGAATTTTAATATCTACTTTTTTTATCCAACTAATATTTGATGTTTTGATATATTTTTACATAAGGTTTGATTTTATTTTAGATTTTGAAAATTTACTAAAATGAAATACTAATGGAATCGGAATTTATAAGAATTGTTTGAGAATTAGTTAGAAGCGTATGTTATTTCATCAGTTAATGATGTAATAATATGTCTGTTCCCTAACGATGATGAAAATGAAGCTTTAGTTTTTTGGAGGGAAAATATCTAAATTTTTATTATATTAAATTAAATATAGATATTTTTTCCTACATATCACTGTATTATACCTAAATGGACTTGTTAAACCATGTTTGTCGTTTTCTTCACATAAAAAAAATTGAACACAGAAAATATGAAGGGTCACCAATGGCAACGAATAAATAAATAATTACAGTAGTTTATATAAAAACATCCCACACGTGTGGTACCAGTTGTGCGTGTGGGTCGGGATTAGTCTGGACCCTTTGGGTTTGGGATTACCCGGTTATCAAAAAAAAAAACATTTTGTTAGATGTTTATCAAGAGTTTAAATATGTAAAAATCTATAAAAAGTAGAATTTGGTGTGTTTATATATATATATATATATATATATCCCTTACTCTTCCTCACATGTAGAGGACCACATGTTTACTTAATTCACATAATTTTTTCTATCAAAATGGTTATAGATTAATACAATTATATATATATATATATATAAAAGTGTGTGTGTGTATATATATATTCCAGTACATTGTACTACATTTCCCCCTTATTTATATCAACCAATTGTCTTTGGTGTGTGTGACATCTTCGTTCTGCATTTATTCAAATTCATTAACATCTGGTTTTATCCATTAATATATATAAATACTGTTTTCAATAATTGACATTAACGGTTACGGTTTACGTCAGCAGCGATAATTGTTTTGCTTTTTTTAAATAGATATAAAAGGTTCTGATAAATAACATAATCATTAAATTTCTAAATATGTAAAACAATTGGACCAGCTACCATGAAATTTGGGAGACCTTTTAAGTCCAAAAAGATAGATCAAAAGATTCCTGATCACTTAACTAAAATATCCCCGATTTAAATAAAAATAAAGTAATTAAATTACATAATAATAATAATAATAAGTGATGGTGACTAATAGTGAGTGATGCATGGTCACGAATTTGCGAGGTGTCTTGCATTAAAAGTAATAAGATTCATTTATGATTGTGATTTGTGACAACTCATTTAAGCTCACAATGTATCTCTTAATCCGCAATTAATGGTAAATTGTGCGCTATCTATGATTAATGATAGTATATAACATCAGCTTATATGTGAACGCCACGTGTCTCATGTATTAATTCATAAACCAACCAGTTATTCTCAGTATTTATTTCAGCGAAGAGTATGGACAAAACATTAATATCCATATATAGAAATAAATATTTTAGATATATATGGTAAGATACATTATAAAATCTAAATCATATTAATAAAAGTTTCGAATAAATTAGAAAATCGGTTCGTAAATGAAGAAAACTCTTGCCCATGAATCCACACCGGTCTTCCTTAGACTTTAAAAAATAAATCAAACAACTTTTGCATGAATAGAATATTGAATTTTAGAAAATCAAAACAGTATCAGAAGTCGTAATTTTTACACAATATACACATTCGGCAGAGATAAATCATACATAATTACATATGGTCTAATACAGAATTTCCATGGATGTATTTTTTTTATAAAAACGAAACATTAAATAAACAAATAAAAACATAAACGAATGAATATACCGTATCAACAATCTTTTAGTTAACTAAAAGTATGGGAGCCACGATATTCATTTTCCCATCCAAACCAGTACATATTTACATATATATATATATATATATATATATATGGGTGTGGGTGTAACAGTGAGAACTGAGCATAAGACGCGGGTGATTAAAAAAACACGAGGCAAAGAAAACTGCGACTGCTCATGGGGTCAACACGAACACTCTGCCTATAAAAAAGCCCACTCCCTTCGCATGATTTCTCAGATTCCCAGATCTCCATTACCCATTTTCCGATCCTAAAAACCCAGAAATCTCCGACTGAAAAGTCTCCATTTTTTTCCGGCGAAGAGTTCTGTGTCGACGATGTTGTCGGTGGTGATATTTGCTGAGTTACTGGGCCAGTACACGGCGGCGCTCGCCAAAATCGTCGCCGGACTTCTTCCTCATCGTCCCGACCGCCGGACTTACGTGCGGATCGGTAGTTTGACGTTGACACTGCCTTGTCCTAATCGGCCATCGGCGATTCCTGATTTCACATCTCATCTCGTCGATTTGTGATTTGATGGAACACTTCTACTTCCATTATCTCATCGCGTAGCACGGTTTTCCCGAGTTTCTCTCCATTTTCCTTTCCTTGAATCTAGTAAAGGGTTCCGTTTTTTTTTTTTTTTTTTTTTTTTTTAAATGTGTGACAAAGTAATTATATAATAGTAATAGAGATGAGATTATCGAGGTTAAACTGTTCTTGTCGTGAAAATTCTCTCGTGAGTCGTGACCATTCGGAATTTACCAATACGATCTCTTTGTTTTATGTAAGAATATAAACATCAAATACATTATAGACGGATTTGCCATGTTATAGAGCTATCATCTTCTCTTTTGTCCTTTTTATTTGGTTTAAGAAGATGACAATAATTTGATTAAGAGAGCCGTTGTATTTTTTCCAAACTTCCCACACGTGCTCTCGAATTATGAAAATTCTCTATAATTTTCTGAATATCGATCCTAGATTAGATTATATGAATTGGAATTGATTTTCATTTTTTAATATTTAACAAAACGGATTTATAGATTGGTCTGCTTCGAAATGAACAAAAACGGACCACATCTCGAATGGACCACAAATCATGTTGCGGACTAAAAAAGTAAATTTTTAACTTTTCTTTCATTATTTTTTATTAGATTTGAGATTTATTAATATATATTTTAATTATATGAGTTTTAAGACTATTAAATTGTTATTTAAACAATAATTTTAAAATACAACACATATAAATAGGGTGTCAATTTAGGTTTGAGGCCCGAAGCTCGACTCGACTTAGTCCGAAAATTAGCGCGTTTCGGGTCTAAGTTTTTCAGTATGAAAAAATCGGACTTCAAACCGATCAGAAAGTCCGATATTTAAAAATAAATAAAAAATAAATAAATAATATTTACAGAGGAAATTATGTGAATCGGTCCGGTCCGGTCCAACCCGATCCGAGTCCAGAATATATAGGGTCGGACTTTGAATTTAGTTATGTAAGCCCGAAAAAATTGGACCGGCCTGAGTCCGAGTCCGAAACTTTTGGACCGAGTACGTATTGAGGCCGGCCCGACCCGATTGACATCCTACGTATAAGTACTGAAACTTCATAAAAAAATGAATTTTACTATTTTGTTTTGATTTCTGTGTTAGTCTTTTAAATTAAATATTTGACAGACTTAGACAGATTATTTCTATGATGTTGTATCTGACATAAATTATAATTCTTACCGAAAAGCAATTAAAAAAAGTTTTTTGGTATTTGAATTTAATTTGTGAACCATGTGATTTGGTTCAATAACTAACAGAACTAAATTAGAATTCACTGTTTATTTATAAAATTTATTAGGCTGATCCGAAATGAAAAACGATGAATTCGTCTGGATCTCGGATGATATGTTTTAAGCTAACACATTTTATATCCCTAACTTCACCCATGAACAGCTATAGATTATTATTATTATTATTATTATAGAAAATTTCATATAAATAATTCAACTTTATAAAAATGTGCCAAATAAATATTTAGACTTTTAGTTTTATCTAATTGATATCTCAAATGTTAAAATATTCCAAATAAAATACCTAACTCACAAAATTGAGAGCAATTTACAATCTCGATTTGTTTTTTTATTTTAGAATTAACATCTAATTTATATATCGCCGTTAGAGATGAGGTTGAGAATTGTTATCGATTTCTTGAATTTTATTTTTACGTTAAAAATTAAGATCTAATTTATACGTCATCGTCAGAATCGAAGTTGAAAATTGTCACCGATTTTTTGAGTTAAGGTATCTATTTAGAATATTTTTAACATTTAAGTTATCAATTTGAAATATTTTAATATTTAAAAAGTTTAGTTATTTTTATAAAGATGAATTACGGATTTTCCCTTATTTTATTGTTATTGACGCATGAGACATTAATTAATTTGTAGATATAAAGAATAACTCAAATCCGTAGCAGTGTCGCCATAGACAATAAAACCCACAAATCCGATATGGGGTATTCTCTTAAACGAAAAGGGGGTCCATATACAATGAGTTAATGATATCTACGTTATATATATATATATATATATATATATAACGTAGATATCATTAACTCATTGTATATGTATATATCACCTACGAGAGATACTTTATGGAATAATGCATAACGAACTAAAAAATCTTACATCGTATTATTTTTTAATATATGTTTTTTCAATATATATATATATATATATAAGAGATATTTTGGTTAGGACACCGAATTGAATCTAGATGGTTGGAAGAGAATCAATTTGAGTAATGATGATATACTTATGCTTTTAACATATTATAGATTTCGTCCATCTTTAAAATAAATTTGTAGTCTTCATAAAAAAAAAAAAAAAATTGTAGCTACCACCCGAAGAAAAGATGTTATATATCTACACAGTGAAGTTGATATTCATGAAAATAACGGATGCCCAACAAACAAAGTGGTTGTATATACTTCAACTGTGTAGATGCATATCGTTTTCTGCGATATTTTGCCTAATATATACAAAATATATCATCACATTATTGATAATTAAATAAATATTCATTGGTTGGACCAAAAAGAGATTTGATTGAATGGAGGGTAATGGCCTTGCTGGTCATTTAGTGCCCACACAGTCCAGCTCGGTTGGAAGATTTATCAAACTCGAAATGTATAATGTTTTTTTTTTTGTTAACGTTTGAGAACTTGCCCTACAATTTTTGGATCAGATCCCGCAACACCTTGCAGCCCCCTAAAGATCGGACAAATGATATGGCATCGGGAACAGTAAAATTCATACGACCCTATGCAACAGCTGGTAAGCCACGCGCAGAAGAGGTAAACTAGTCGAAACTGACCGACTCAGAGAAAATTTGATATCAGAAGGAATCGAACTCACAACCTCGGATAGAAGGGTTTGTTATTTTCCAACTGAGTTAGGGGCTTCCCTCAAATATAACGTTTCTAAATTGTTCTTAATGATTGAATAAACACATATCATGCATGCATATATATATATACATATATATAACACAATTATTAACATATGAAGGTGGCACAACTCGAACTTAACCAATTCGCTTTGGTTTGATTTCTTTTCGTGTATGGTTCTCATCGAGTTGGATTTAATATTATCCTTCTAAACCAAAATTGGTTTGTTCAACTGATAATAGATGAGACAAAACTTATTTTCAATCCAGATTCGAATATTTATTTGGAGATGTGTATTCATCTGAAATTTTCTATTTTTTTTAGAAAATATAGTTGAAATGAAGATACGATCAATTCTCGCAAATTATAAAAAAAAAACATTATCTTTCTAAAATAAATAAAGAAATATCATTTACATACTAATCACAAAATGACAAAATATTTGTTATATCAGGCTTATATCGGATTCGAGTGGAACATAAGAAATCGAAGTAATAACGACCTAAAGTTAAATTAGATTCAATAGTTTTGATTTTGGTTTGGTCCGCACAGTTTTGTGGTCGGACTAATTCAGAGGCAAAACAACGTGAGAGATTGCATGGTGGGACCGTACTTAATAATACACACACGTAGACGTTTTGCATGGGACACGGACCATGCAATAAACAAGAGACATTTGTCCAATTTACGATTCAAACACGTCTTTCTCAGCCGATTTTTCAATCTAGCCGGTATCCTTTAATTTCACACATACCCGTATCCATATATGTGTATTTATGAGAAGATATTACCATTAATATTATTATCCTCGATATTATATATAAAATATTATATTATATTTTATTATAGATTAACGTGTATTTTACCGTTATCAATATAAAAAAAACATTGTTTTATATGATATCAAAATTTTAGTTTTTGTTCTAATTTTTTTTTTTCTGATCAATAATATTGATTGAATACGAAAGCGATGATGAAGATGACGATAATATATTATATCTAATAATATCATCGTCTTGAATATCTGTCTTTCATTCTTTTTGTTTTTTTTCGACGGTGGTGCTCATCATAATCGATCCTAGTTGATGTGCTATTTTTTTGTTTTCAACGATATTCGTTTATTAACATCAACTCTAGACGATGTACTACTTTATTTTTCTCTTGTTTGACGATGTTCGTTTATCGCCATCAATCCTAACCGTCATGAGATCTTTAAATTTGGCTTTTGGCAATTTTCGATTGGAAAACTCTGATCATCGATCTGGACATTTGTATCACTTTTTTCTTTTTTTTTGTCTCTTGCTAAACTATTACATATTGTGCATCACGCTTTTGCACTTTTATTTTTTTTCCCGATTCAACCGCTATATGCACCATAACTTTTTTACCTATACACGCTACATATTTATGCAATCCAACTCACGTATACGCACTGTACTGTTGAAGAACAAACCGGACATACCATGCAAGAAGACAATTCACCCGAGAGCTTCATCCAAGACAAGGACGACGTGGTTGCCTTAACCAAGAAGCAACCAATGAAACCTTCAGAATCAAAAGGAGTCTATGGAAGAGAATCACGTGAGGATCTTCATAATACACACACATGACATATTTAGGCATAATACAATCTCTTTTATATGGAAAAATATATTCGATTGTATATTATATAACGTCAACTTTTTTTTTTCTTGTAGACTAAGAAAGTCTATATTATGTAAATGTCTCTCTGTGAATAAAAACATACGAGGAATCCTTCTTTTTCTGTATGGTTCTTCTCTTTCGTAACTCATACTTCTTCTTCTTCAATCCTCTTCCTCTTTTTTCAAACCTAAATTAATCTGAAAATCTTTACGTATAATATTCGTGTTACATCAGACTCTGAGATTACAATTCTCAAATATTATCTAGTAACACCGATTTAAGTCTGAACTACACCACCATGTAGAAGATGATTTTTTTGGTAAAAATATAAATATTATAAAAAAAAATGTTTTACAACCGAATGCTTAACACCACTGGAAACCATGTAGAACAATGAATTCATCATGATTCATCTTGATAGATAGATGATTTATCTTGAGGTATATAAAAAGACATTATCATTAATATCGTTATAATTTATCTAAATATTATATATAGAATATTCTATTTTATTTTATTATATATTAACGTGTAATTTGCAATTATGAAATTTTTTTTTTTTTCTGAATTCGTATTTTTATTTACACAATTCTTTAAAATTATTTTTAATCTAACACGATTGATTTAAATTCAGTTTAATTTTTATTCAAGTTTAATAATTTTTTGTAAAATTATATAAGTTTAATCAAAGTTTGTAGTCGCTCGAAAGTTTTCAACGAAAAGCAAACAGACGACCGACTAGCGGAAGCGTTCACACGTGATTTCGCCGACTTACAAGACGAGTCAGCCAACATGTGGGACCCATACCTGCCACATGTTCACGATTTAGCAGCTTAATTCGTGATTCCACAAGTGAGAAGCCCTGTCTTGGTGATCAATAAATTCCCATTATATTACATTTGCTGACGTGGACATTCAACACTTGGACCTCCAAATTTCGTTGTGGCGAAAGCGAAATACTTATGAATTTAATATAGAATCGAGAAATATTTCTGTATTACACAAGGCTTTATCATTATGCAGACCTATTTTTTTCTATCCACTGGAGAATTATGAAAAAATATTATCACTGTTATTATTGGTAATACAAATTTTAATATCTAAAATAGTTTTTTATTAATAATTTTAAATCTATCAAAAGTTAATTTTTAAATTCAATAAAAAAGTCGAACTAAACTGATATATAAAAACAATAAAATAATATTGTTTTTTTATAATATTTAATTACTCTCACTGATATTTTGTCCAAGAAAAGTTATAAAAATTAAAATCATATAAATAGAACTGAACTAGTCTAATATAAAAATTTAATGCTATATTTTTAATATAAAAAATTTATATCCCAAAATAAAGAAACTGAATGTGAAATCCAAAATAGAGATTTTGCATTTGATAGATAATAAATACGGTATTCTTTTAACAATCCCATGCAATGATTTAAGATTTATAAAAATGATAAATATTTTGTGGTTTTTGTATTCCATCAATAAACTTAGTGATACCCTCGACTGTTTATACATAAACCGTACTTTTTTTAATCATTATCATATTAATACTATTATCTAATTAAACACTTATTATCCAATAAACGAAATGAATGAACCAAGCTTGGATGAACTAGTGGTGAAAGAACATGCAAAGCATGCTCTTATCCTGAGTTCAAACTCAAGCGTGGGAAGGGATATTCACATGGGTTTCTCCGGTTCTTTGGGAGATGTAGTCGGGCCAAAGGCCCGATGAACTTCTGTATTATAAAAAAAAAACGAAATGAATGAAAAAAAAAATAGATAAAAAGGAGAAGAAAGCAATGATGACGAACGCGATTTCGAACGCAACTCGGCAGACGCGTCAACCTCTACTGGCGTTCGGTGAGAACACGTAATGACTCCGTGAGCCCAATATTTTAATAATATTAAATTAAACCCCATTAATTAATTAATTAAAATTAATCAAAGATTATTACAAACTCGTGTCGTGTCATGTCAAACAAGTAAACACGTGTCTCTCTATCCACAACGACACGCGGAATTGTATAAAGTAAGAGGAAAAAAGGGGTCATCCATTTGGATTTTTATCATATCCGTACATTGATAATATTCTAGATGGATCTCTTCACATCTTTTGTTTATTTTATTTTATGAAGATCTTTTGTGTATATATTTATTTAGCCCCGTTAATCCAATATATTCATAAATCCATATGTATGCAAAACATTTATTAGAAGTTTAATTAAAAAGAATAGAAATATAATTTGAAATATAAATTTGTTACGCCAAACCCTATTTGGAAGTTTTAATCGAAATATATTTTTAAAAGTTTTAAAAAATTAGTATAGTTTAATATTTCAATAAAAATTATATGAAAATAAAATTAATTTTGATTTATATTACTCTTTAAATATAATATTGATGTACTTATTTTATAATTTTTCTTATGATAAATGATATAACTCATTTTATAGTAATTTTTATTTCATTTTTTTATATAATTTGAAAGTTTATTTATTAATATATTTTGAATATTATTAAAAAAATAAAAAATATATATTTGTTTTTATTTTAGAATTTCGTTTAATCTAAATAATTAAAAATATTTCTTATGATAAATCAATTTAACAAAAAATGATAAAAACCAATAAATATTAATATATATATATATATATATATATTCAGCATACTGTAATTTATATATATATATATATAAAGTGCAACTTGTTTTTTTATTGCCAATATCTAAAATTAGGGGTGGACATAATATCCGAAAAAATTGAACCGATTCGTTATCCGATCCGTATCCGAATCGAAAATTCGGATATCCGGAGTTTACGGATCGGATACGAATATTTATTTTGAAATATTTCAAATGTCTTTCGCGGATACGGATATCAAATTCGAATTATCCGACATATCCGATCTGATCCGTACTAATTAATAATATTATTAAATATAAAAATAATTCGCTATAAAAATTTAAAATGTTTTATATTTACATATTTTATATGTATATTCAAGAAATATTTTGTATATATTGAGATTTAGAATATTTAATCTTTTGAATATTAAAATTTATTATGTTTAATTTTTGAATTTTGAACTTTCAATATATTTGTATTATGATTATATTTGTATTTGAATTGATTTAAAATATTTAAATTATGGATTTTAAATTATGAATAACATTTATATTAAATAACTTATATATTTTCTTTTATATTTAAAATTATTATTTAAATATAAATTTAATTTTTATAATTTTTATGTCGGATACAGATATTTACAAATATCCATGATATTTACGGATATCCGAAATTTCGGTATTCGTAAATTATTGATCGGATACGGATAATAAAATCGAGTATTTGTGCGGATCGGATACGGATACAGGGATCTTAAAAATCACGGATATCCGATCTGTATCCAATCTTATCTAAAATGTATATAAAATAATGTTAGATTCCCATGCTGGAATACAACATTGATTTGAGTTCTCCATGGTAAGGGACAGACAGACTTCTGATTCCTTCTAGAAACATCAAATAGTCTCAGACTAATTGGTACAAGTTGATCCTTTTTATACATTTTATATAGTTTATTATTATTATTATTATTATTATTTAGTTATATATTTTAAGTACTAAAATGTAATAACCAGCTACCGTCTACTAGAGCTCTAGAGATGGGACCGTGGACGCGGCGGAGAATTTTATTTTCATAAAAAAAAAGACAATACGACAAAAAAAGGTGCAAAAAACCTAGACAACGCCTTTCACCTCACCGCCTATAAGAACATCGTCGATGCTCAGATCGAATATCCATCCCAAATCCACAAATCAACGAACACCCTTCTGAAGATTCAGATAATCCCAGAAGAATCCACGAAAAAATCTTACAGTTTCTTCTCCGGCGAATCGTTTGTATAATGTTGTCGGTGGTGATCGTTGCTGAGTTACTCGGCGAGTACACGGCGGCTCTCGCCAAAATCGCCGCGGGACTTCTTCCCCGGCGTCCCGATCGGCGGTATGTCATCCGAATAGGCGGTGTCTCGCTACCTTGTCCTTCCCCGTCTAGTGCCGGGTCGTCGCCGATTCCGGACTTCTCCTCTCATCTCGTCGACTTCTGATTCGTCATCGACTTTTTCTTTTCCGTTGTAATCGAGGGAGATGGTCGAGATTTTTCCCAGTGTCTCTCCTTCTCGCTCAGTTTTTTCTTTTTGTGCTGTAATATACGGTCTGTAAACTCTATGCAGATGAAAGTCATAATGAGATGATGAGTTTTGGTTTTCTTAAGAGCCTTCGTCCTGCATTTTCTGATCATACTTTTAATCTGATTCGTAAATCACGCCACTTGGTGCGAATCCTTTGATGGATCTCTTAAGAGATTAGGCTGTATGAATCCGGGGATATGGACCGGTAATACACTATGGTGCCTCATAGCAAAGAAACTCTAAAGTTACCTCCTTTTCTGAGTTACAGTCCAATCTGAGATGCAATAGTCAACACAGAGAGAGACAAGACATAATCTACCTGAGAAAGAGGAATATTCATCAAGACAGTGTAAGAAAGTTAGATGGAGATATACCCACTGCTCCAACTTTGACTGCCTTTGTCTCTGTCTTTGATCGCGCAAGAAGAAATTGGAAAGAACAATGGGAACGAAGACAGCAAATGATGTTTCTTCTCGTGGGAAATAAGAGGGTTAGATCTTTGGAGGAGGAACCCGCCATTGCCAGTGGCAGTTAAGCTTTCTTCCACATGCATCAACTTTCTTCTTTGCTTTTCCAATGCCGATTCAGTTGTTTTGTTTTGAAATCTAAGACACAACTCAGGGTCACCACTGGACCTGTTTCACTGGAGTCACTTTCGGATTCTTCAGCAAGCAAATAACCAAGCCTTCTGCCGCCATTATGAACATTTTCAAAGGGGTAGACTTGCATATAATGTATGTATATGCAGACATATATGCATCAGACATGTCTTGGGAGTGGGTAATCCCTGCAGGCCACCTACACCCATTTCATCAAATTTCAAAATTACAACGACAAACAAAAACCCTAAATCCTAATATCATGAAATGGGAAACAAAAAGTCCCAAACTTTACAGGAAAAAAACCCCTAAACCTAAAGAACCCCTCAAACGTGTCCTCTCTGGTGGATGATGGTAATCAAATCATAATCATCCTGATTGTCCAGCCGATCTTCGGAGAAACAGAACTTACGAATGTCCCAAGAGCTCGACAGGATCGAAATCGACGATGAATCAGTCCTCAGTTTCCATGTAACGAATCAAACCGTGTCTGAATTTCAGACAGAACACCTATCTGACACGTGTCTCCTCTCCTTCTTCTTCTTCCTTCGATGTCAAACTTTTTTCCTGTTTGTCTTCGCCTCTCCCCAGGAATCTGGAGATATCTCGACAATCACCATATTTTTCTCCATGATCAGTTGAGTGAGCGTTCTTCCCTTTGGAGCAATGATTTTTTTATACAATTCTGGGGTTCTGATCCAAAGCAACCCACAATAGCAGTTCATGGGCCTCTAATGGGCCATGCGCTTGAGCCCATATAAAACTACTATTCAGTGGGCAATGAAATTAATCAAGTGTGCTAAATTTTGTATTGTTTTTGTTATCTTTACTAAAAAGAAAAAGGCTGCAAAAACAAATAAGTTCCATTAGCAATATTAATAAATCTAACTACAAAATTCTGGTAGACGGAACAGTTAATAATTTTAACATATATTATATAAAACATAATTTAAAAACTGTTAAAAAAAACATAAAATGTAACACGTATACACATATATTCTCAAAATTGTCACCAACAATTTTGTTTTTTTTTTTAACATTTTTTTCAGTGTCGATTAACTAATTTTAATGTTTATTATGACCGTACGATAGCTTGATCTCCATTTGTATTGTGGCATAACTCAACTGTGTGTGTGTATATATATATATATACACGTAGGTGTATGCATCCATGTATACAACTCGTTTTAGCGAAGGAATACGTGAGATTCATTTTGTCGCCGTGGTAAATTAATTTGTTACGCCGATATAAAAAAATATTTAATGAGAAGCTGTGGTGATGGTGACGTGTCACGTCAGTGTAGTAGGTGGGCCTTTATTTATTTATTTTTAATAATTACGATGCGACTTAGATTCGATATAAACAATTGAAAACAGATCCCTTGGTACATTTGTATTACAAATACGTCGATTTTGATTTATTATATGTTTGGTATGAACCATCGCTCGCCCATTGACTCGGAACTAATTTGTTTTTATGTGAATTGGTTTAATTTTTTGAATTCGTGTAAAGAAGGAACGAATTTAGATGAATCAATTCGCTAATTGAATTATAGTTATTTATAAATCTATTTTTATTATTATCTATGCTATTTACTCGATTATTCTTTTCGATAAATCGTTAGTGATGAACTTAACAACTTTCTAATTCTATTTTAAATATTTGTTAACATTTTTATAATTTCACATTTATTTGTATTTTACTTATTTTAAATATTTAAAATTTTAACAATTATTTGTATAAAATCAAAAAAACTTTCTAATTCTATTTTAAATATTTTACTTACCCTTTATAATTTAACAATTATTTGTATAGATTTATTTTATTGTATGGAGAGGGTGGTGAGGTGTTGGGACCGTGTCCACATTTGTTCTAGCACAGCTTTCAAAGGGAGTGGGTGAACTTCAGAGGAAAACCAATTAAATCTATACACGTGTCACATTCCGACATGTTTATCATACTAACTTCTCTCTCCTGTATTTATTATTGTTTTTTGATTTTTTTCCACGTGGTGGGTGTTGTAATAAATTGAGCGCTTTAGAATATTGGGATAAAAGATAACCATTCGATTTTCTAAATTAATCAAATCTAAGTTTGATTACGACTCTTGATACGTTACAGAAGATAATGACATTAATTATACAACGTATTTTCCTCTTTGGTTTTCAATAATTGGATTATTATATTTAACATTAATTGATTTGTATTTTTCACCTAAAATTTGGAGACATTTATAATACAGGATAAATAACTAATTTATTTTTTGTACCGGACACCAAACATTTAATCATTGTAATATTCAACGAAGCATAATTCTATTCAGGTAATGATAGAGTTTTAATTTTAAAGAAATTTACATTATTAAGCAAAAATGATGGAAGTAATTGTCTCTCCCACCCACCAACTTGACTCCGATGCTAGCCGACTCTACCTTTGACGAAAACTTCTAATTTACATTTTATTGAATAAAAACACTTTTATTAGAAAATTATTTACATTATAATTTCATTAGAGATTGCTTGATATTGTAGGTCATAGTTCATAATTAAAGAATATAATTTCTTCATTTTTGAATAATACATATAAATAACTTTAGTTTTCGTTCAATCTTATTTTTATATCTAAATTTATATTAATTCAAATATCCCTCAGAATACATGTTAAAGATTTTTAGAAAAGTAGAAATTACAATTAAAGAACTTTTTATACAATATTAATTATAGAGAAGAAAAATAAATGAGGATATTTTTTTTTCAATTTGTTATTAAAAAAATTGTATTCGTATATATAATTATACATATTTAACCAAATGAATGCTAACCAGACAATTATCCATCGAAAATATCAAATATTCAGTAATAGTAATTGCAAATCTGCAACAATGTTAGGTTTATATTAATTAGTTTTTTTTTAATATAATACTCTAATTACATTATAAAGAAAGAAAGGGCGTGTATTACTCGTACACATTTTAATTTCGAAAAATAAATTTAATTTACATGAGAGATGAGAATAGTTTAAACAAAGAAACATTTTCTCTATAAATAACCAAACCCCAAACTCACTCACTCACCAAACCTGAAAAATACACAATAAAAAAAAAAACAGAAAGCATGGGTTCGACGGCGGAGACACAGATAACGCCGGCACAAGTCTCCGACGATGAAGCGAACCTCTTCGCCATGCAACTCGCGAGCGCTTCTGTCTTACCGATGGTTCTGAAATCGGCCATTGAGCTCGACCTGCTCGAGATCATGGCCAAGACCGCCGGATTCTCCGGCCAAATGTCGCCGTCCGACATAGCTTCGCGTCTTCCAACAAAGAACCCAGATGCTCCTGTCATGCTCGATCGCATTCTCCGGATCCTGGCTTCTTACTCCATCCTCACCTGCTCCGTCCGTACGCTCTCCGGCGGCGGCGTCGAGCGGCTGTATGGACTCGGCCCCGTCTGCAAGTATTTGACCAAGAACGAAGATGGCGTCTCCATTGCCGCCCTCTGTCTCATGAACCAAGATAAAGTCCTCATGGAGAGTTGGTAAAGTTTTCCGATTCTTTTACTGAAAACATGGGATCTTTGTTTTTTTTTTCCTGGTATGATTGAATAGATGATATTATCTATATTCAGATTTAATCTGTTTTAAAAAAAAAACACATGATACAGTTGAACACTGTGCTTGTGAATTTGACGAATGGAATTGAGAAGTGTGAAGGGTGGTGGAAGAACAGAGCAAGAAATCAGACATGGAGACAAATCTGCTGACATTATTGACATCCGCAGACCAATTATTGAAACTTTGTCCGGATATGGCAGCTCAGTTTTAGCAACAACACTTGAAAAAGTTCATGGCTTGTCTGTTAAGAGAGATCCATTACATATATGCTGAAATCCAGTGTATATGAATGTATGTATAGGTACCATCTGAAAGATGCAGTGCTTGAAGGCGGGATCCCGTTCAACAAGGCGTACGGAATGACGGCGTTCGAGTACCACGGGACAGATCCAAGGTTCAACAAAGTGTTCAACAATGGAATGTCCAACCATTCCACCATCACTATGAAGAAGATTCTAGAAACCTACAATGGCTTCGAGAGCTTATCCTCGGTTGTCGACGTAGGCGGGGGGATTGGAGCCACTCTCAGCATGATTGTCTCCAAGTACCATAACGTTAAAGGCATCAACTTTGATCTCCCTCATGTCATTGAGGATGCTCCTTCTTATCCGGGTATATACATACTCGGATATATAATCATTTCGGTCGTATATTTCCTCTCTTTCGGATCGATATAGAGATGGGTTTTCGTTCGATGGTGCAGGTATTGAGCATATAGGTGGAGATATGTTTGTTAGTGTCCCTAAAGGAGACGCCATCTTCATGAAGGTCAGTATAGTTTAAGATCAATATATATTGATCCTTGGCTACCAGTTCATCATCGCAATGTACGATTTCGACCTCGTTAAAGCGAGTAACCGAGAGAAAAAAAAACCCGATTTCCCGGCTTTGATGACAGTGGATATGCCACGACTGGAGCGACGAGCACTGCCTTAAGTTCTTGAAGAACTGCTACGAAGCGCTTCCGGGTGAGGGGAAAGTGATAGTGGCGGAGTGCGTACTTCCGGTGGCTCCGGACCCGAGCCTCCTGACGAAACAAGTGGTCCACATAGACTGCATCATGTTGGCTCATAACCCCGGAGGCAAAGAACGAACCGAGAAAGAGTTCGAGGGCTTGGCCATAGGATCTGGCTTTCAGGGTTTTCGGGTTGTCTGCAACGCCTTTGGCACTTACATCATGGAGTTCATCAAGAAGATCTAATCTTCTTCTCACATACATATATATATATATATATTCACTGGTCGTCCGCATTTCTCTTGTCGTTGTCGCGTGTAATGGAGGAAGATGGGTTTGTGTTTGTATATGTATTGTGCCATGCCATCTTTGATTGCTCACATTGGTCACGGAATTGTTTTCAGTATTCTTTGGCTCGTACAATTTGAGGATGTGAAATCAAAGGTTTAACCGACATAATAAGATTTGGCCGTTTAAATCGATTTAGGGAAATAAAGTGACGGGAATATTGGATAAACTTATCTTTTTTTGTAATAAAATTTATTGTTATTTTTAGTGATTTAAAATTTTAAATTATAATGATAAATTATAGCAAACATCATATTTGAAACATATAATTTCGTATTATAAAAAACTAATAAAAAATAATATATATAATATTTTGTTAAATGTGTATAAATAAATAATATATTAAAATAATAAATAAAAAAGAGAAAATTTTAAATAAATATATGAGTTTTTTATTTTTTATCAATAAATATAGGGAAAATTCTATAAAAAAAACTATGTACTTTTTACTCGTCGCAATTTAAACCCTATACTTTTTTTTGATCCTATTAAACGCTATACTGTTATAATATGACAAAAAAATACTTGTACTTTGTAAACATTAGCAATTAAATCTTTCTGACTAAACGACGTTAAAATCGTAGTTCTAACCCCAACGGAAAAATGATGTGGCATATATTTCGCCCACCTCATCAGCCACTAAGATTAAAAAAAAAAACACATTAAAAATCCTAAAATCCATAGAAGCCCTAATCCCTTTATCTTTCTCGTATCTCTCATTCTATCATCTCTCTCATTCTCTCGTTTCTCTCATTTTGTTCTCTGTCTCATTTTTCTGTTGGCATTTGGTTCTGGTATCTCCCCTTACACATTTCTCTCTTTGGTCTGTAACTTCGATTTTTGAAGAACGACGGTGTTGGTACTCTTTGTCTCTGCGACTTTTATGGAATTTTCCCATAAATATATTAATTTTCATCTAAAAAATACATCAACCATCAATTTTTTTTTCCAACTTCTTGTATGAAATCTAACGACGTTAACTGTATAATGGTTTCCAACTAATGGTAGTGATGTGGTTCGCTAGATTTTCTACGTTAATATCACATGATAAAAATTTTCAAATCATTAAAAAAAACAAAAACAAAAATAAATTTTAAAATTTAAATTTTATATATATGTAAATTTTAAACTAAAAATTAAAATTAAATTTAAATTTTAAATTTTAAACTAAAAATTAAAATTTAAATTATAAATATATATATATATATATATGTAAATTTATATGTTTATATATATATATATGTGTGTTATTGTATTTGTATATATATATTCATATTGAAATGTGTATGTGTATATATATGCATATACACATATACAAATATATATATGGTGGAAGAACCGTCGGATACTCGTCTCACGGATACCCGATTTTAGGGTACTCGTAATTTTCAAATCCGAATCCAAATCCTTATTTTTCAATACCCGTGAATCCGGATCCAAATCCGGATAATAGAATTTTTAAAACCGGATATCCGCGGGTACCCGCGTATTATGATTATAAATAATTATATCTTATATTTATATAACATTTTTATAAAATACAATTATTTTAGATGAAATAATTTCATATTTTTTTAATATTAATTCAAAAAATTAAATTTATTATTATTTGTCTCTTATTATCTCTTTTGTCTTATATATTTTATCATAATTCATCAATTTTTATAAATATATCTTCATGTTTTAAAAATTTTATATATGAATATTATTGTTTTTCTTAAATAAATCCGGATCCGGATATCCGCGAGTACCCGACTATTATTCCGGATACCCGTACCCCGGATACTCGTAAATACCAAATCCATGATACAAATCTCATAGTTAAATACCCGAGCCTCCCGGATCCGAATCCAAATCTCTCGATTTTCCCGGGTATTCGACCCGTGCCCACCCCTACATCATCATTGTGGGTTTTGATGGTCCCATGAGGGTGGACCCACTTTAAAACAATGATATTAAAAAAAGAAAAAAATTCAAAAAAATACTAATTTGTTTGACAAAAAACACTAACTTTTCATTTTGTCAAAATAAATATCAATTTTTTTAAATTTTTCAAAAAATACTTAATTATTCTATTATTTTCAAATAAACAAATGAGTTGACATGACATATGGAGATGAAAATACGTTAAATTATTGTCGTTGTTTTTTTACAATTGTATATAGTTCATGTATTTTTTGAATCATTTAAAAAGCTTGTATTTTTAACAATCGCATAAAAGTTTATATATTTTTTAGATCATTTAAAAAATGTAATACTCATTTAAAAAGTTTAATATTGATTTGATAAAAATAAAAAGTTTGATATTTTTTCTGTCAAAATTGAAAAATTCAATATTTTTTTTTGGATTTTTCCTTAAAAAAAGAAAGTATTTATAAAAGTTAATAAAATTTACAAATTTTGCGTGGATCCCTTTTGGCTCTTTTTTTTTTTAAATTTTTACGTTACGGAATTAGAAAATCAAATAAAAAAAGAGTATTTTATCACAATCTCTTTCATTTGTTCCCTTATTTTTCTTAATTATTTTCCATATTAAAACTTTTCCTTATTTTTTATCACAAAAAACATCATCAATACAATTATAGTCAAATACAAAAAAAATTAAGAATAATAAAATTAAATAAATATAACAATTATGATTTTTTATTATATGTAAAATTAAATACACTAAAAAATTTATTCTTATATATATTTATTTTATTTTATATTCGATTTGATAGAAAAACCAATAGATAATTTTTTCAAAAAAAAATTTGTATTGATATCTCAAAATAATGAAAATTTTCCAAGTTAATTCCTCAAAAAATTAATTTGAATGTTATTATACGATTAGTTTTTGATTGATTGTCTAATTTATTTAATCGAAAAAATATTTATGATAAATTTTTAAAAAATTAAAAAAAAATCGTAAATATTTTTGTGATAATAATTTTTATATTATATATATATATATTAATATTTTTTGTTTTGTTAACTGTAAATCATTGAAAACTAATCTAACGTACAAAGTAGTAACAGTTGTTACAGATTCATCATGCTCAAAGATTCATCATGCTCAAAGTCAAATTAAAATGGGTGCTTACAAAAGTGGATCGGAAAAGCGAAACCATGTAGCAAGTAGGCTTTCTGAAACTGAGGATGCAGAGGTGGACTGTAGCGCCAAAAGTTTGCAGCGCACGGATCGAAGGATCTCTCTGCGCAGGGAAGAGGATGGTTTTGGTTGGTCTCCATAAAGCCGTGCGTTACGCTTTCGCTAGATAAGATAAACGCAGGCATGAAAGTAGTTTCAGAATGAGCCGACAGTTGTTGTGACTCTGAGAGCGATCAATCCAACTGAAGTATTCAGAGAAAGCTACTAGGGAATGAACACTGACCGCAAGATATTAGGCCAGATCTGGCACGAAAAGCTACACCGAAAGAACAAATGATCCAAAGATTCAGCTTGTGCATCACATAAAAGACAAGAAGCAAGAATATTCAATCCCCAAGCAAGGAATCGGTTGGTAGTTTGTTCATCGCCGACAACCAAACCAAGAATGAGTGCTTGGATATGGAACCTATAAACCAAACAACCTTTACCCAGGGAACAACAGGGGAAAGAGACCAGTGTTGCTTCCATGCTATGCTAGTGGAGAAAGGGGTCGAAGAGGAGGTCGAGTAGATGGCAGACCAGTAAAAAACATTCGGAGTAGAAGTGGAATCCAGAAGTGGCATGTCCGGTATCTCCGCATAGACACATTCAACGATGCTGCTTCTTGCTGGTGGTAGCCGCCAACCCGATGTGGAGGAGTACACATCGGCTATGGTCGCAAGTTTCGGGGTCTGTAATTGACTAGGACCCGAGTCTACCAGAGTGAAGATCAGAGGACCCGAGGGAAGCCAATTGTCAAACCAAAAGCTACAACACTGTCCATTATCCAACCTACATCGCAAGAAGTTCTGGGCTAGGTGACAAAGTTTTAGGAGTCTTCTCCATGCCCAACTTCCCTTACTCTGTGATCCCAACGACCAGAAAGGCTTCCTTTTGATGAGGTTCCCCTTTGTCCATGCGGCCCAGAGGGAACCTGCTCTTGTAAACAAGTTTCAGATAAGTTTTAGACAGAGTATCTTATTCCAATCTGCTAACATTTTCAGGTTAAGACCTCCACTCCTCTTAGGCTGACAGATAGTACTCCATGCCATTTTTGCCCCATGAGCCGAGACAACCGAGCCTTTCCACAGAAAAACAGAACACATGCGTTCAATATCAAGAGCAGTGCTCTTCGGAATGATAAAAACTGATGCCCAGAAGTTGATAATGCTATAGATGACTGATTGAATCGGTTGCAAACGACGAACGAATGACAAGTGCTTCACAGTCCAAGGGTTAAGCCGACCCATAGTTTTCTGTAGGCGTGCGTATATATATTAATGTTGTCCCCATTAAATAAAATTTTAGGTCTGCCATTGGTCTTACGGACGGTTGGATCGTTGTTCGGCCGCTGTAGGAGTCGGAGTGCCTAAAAATTCTGAAGAGAAGTCGGACTCTCTTTTTGAAATTCTTTGCAACATCTTCTAATCTTCTCCCGACCGTTATTGCTCTAACTATTGCACTTGTGTTTTCTCTATTAATTCTACATTAGAATAATATCATATCGTACACATACACAAAATGTATCTTATTTGTTTTATGCATTAAATTTGACAATTCCATTTAATGTGAAGTTATAAAAATGGGAGTTAGTGAGAAATTGAGATTATTTATCTATTGTTTTTTTTTATAATATGTGATTTGCCAAGGGTGGGATTTGAACCTGATTGGAACACTCTTTGCGCATACCCACTTATCAGTTGAGCCAATCACCCTTAACTAATTATTTATCTATTGTTATTATATTACAAATTAAGTTTTTATTTTATAACGTTATGAAATATAGTAAAATATAAATTAAAAGTATTATCCATTTTGAAACATCCTACCAAGATATGAAATTTCTATTTCCTTTTTTTTTTGTACTTTGGAGACGAAACTGACACCAAAGTATGAATATTTTCAATATCAGAATAGGACGTTGGTTGAAATTGAGAAAATTACACAAATACATAGACAGTTGACTGAGTGAGATGCGGTGGCAATCGATGACTCCTCATTGGTCCAACCAATCAAACTCCAACGTTATTCATCCATCAGCTGACCGAGTGTGTTGTGTTTTCGGTCCGTTTTATTTGTCTTTGTTGAATTTTTTTAAATAAATGCAGTTATTTCATATTTGAAATTTTAATCGGTTCAGATATATATCGGTTGTTAGGTTCGGACAGATTTTCTACAAATTTTTTGGGTATTTGTATTTAGGGGTTTATTTGCTAGAATTTATAAAGTATATATATATTTCGGCGAATAAATTATAAGTATAGGGTTTTTTAGATAATAAAAAAGTAAATGGTTTTTTTGTCTAACATTTTAAAAGTATAAGGATTTTTTGGCGAATAAATATAAGTATAAGGTTTTTTGGTAATAAAAAATGTGTAGGATTTTTTTGTCGATATCTGAGAAGTACATAGTTTTTTTTTTTTTTTGCGATTTTCCTTTTTATTTATTATATTTTTCTTTGATAATATTGATTCAAAACTTCAGATACCCAAAAATACTCTTTTCTTTGTGGGGCTTTTGCCATTAATCATAATCTTATATGGCAGAAACATATTTACAATCTATGGAAGAAACGGTCTTTACAACCAATCCCTTAACTACTCCGATGACGCAATATTGTTCAAGGGATTGGATATATCAATTCTATCATCCATTATACAAAATCCAAAACTGCAAACATTATACTTTGATAATGGTTTTGTGCCCTAAATAAAGAAGGATTTTTAATTAATAAGTTTACCTTATAACAAAAAAAAATTAAAATTTTACTCTGCATGTTTGAATGTCAACTTGCACATGGAGATATTAGATTTGTTAGGGGTATAAAACGTGGTGACTCAGTCCGATTCGTTCCGAACTTAGATTTTTTGAGTTTAACTCGGCCCACCTTGTTTTTTGGCGAGTCAAAAATTATTTAACTCAATTCAGTTAATCTTGGATCATGAGTTGAACGAATCGATTCGCGAGTCAAAGACATGACTAAAACACACAATTTAAATACTAAAAAATATTATAAAACATTAAAAAAAACAAAAATTTAAACAAAACAAATCAAATAACTGTCAGAAACATAATTTAAATATACAAAAATTAAAAACTTTTCTGGCTCACGGACCAATTCGTGGGCTTGCCGAACTCAATTCGTGAGGAGCTATCCGTTTTTCTTACAAAATTTTTGAGTTTGATTCTGTTAAGGTTGTTATTGCAGGTAGATCTGAGAAGATTCTAAAGCTGATTTTGTGGAAGAGATAAAGATGGAATCTTGGAGATAGAGTTTGACCAACAACCTTGGAGAAAAAGATATAATCAAATCAATAAACAATTGGAGTTGAAGAGAAAGCTATATAAGAACGACAAAGAGGAAGAGAGGAGACACGGAGCTTAAAAGATTATCATTCAGAGAGTACAAGAGTTTTTGGTCTTTACGTTTTTATTTCTGGTGAGTGAGATCGTTCTGAGGGGGAGTTCTCAACAGTAATCTGAACAAATCCAGAACGTGAGAGTGGGGATTCACACGGGTTGTGTGTTGAATCAGTAGATTTCGTGTCTTAGGAGGGCTAACACTCAGGGGGAGTGTGGTGCGTCTGGGCTTTACTGCAACTATCTCTATGTTGTTGTAGTCAGATTTCCTTGAATGAAAAGAACTGATTTTGAGTGATATCTGAATGCGTCAGTTATTTCAGATTCGAAAAATATGGACTGAATCACGAGTGACTTCACTGTCTTCAATGCCAAATTTCCCCAGCCGGGGACCCACCGGACCCATTTTGACACCCAAGATTTGTATTCATTTGTGGTTCATAGTTAGCTTCGCGTGTATATATATATATATCATATCCCAACCCCACTTCTTAGTATACACACAAACTGAAAATCAAAATAAGAAACAAAAACAAAAAGAAAGAAAAATTATGGATTCGATCTACGTATAAAAATTGGTTTACGCTGTTAGAGAATTGAATCTACAAATTATTTAACTTGAGAAACAAAAATGAAGAAGACTAAGCAAAATTAATGATTAAATGATGATACATTAATTCCATAAAAAAATATTATTAAATTATGCTGTTCAATTGAGTCCGAAACAAGGAAAGATCAATTCATTTATGACTGACTATTCAAGCTATATATATATATATACACGTACACACACAATCATTTAATTTTGAAGATAGTTACATTTTTTTTAATCTCCAATAAATCATTCTTGGTATGGAACCCTATAGGGTTATAAAATCAAAAGATAAACTGGATCCCATCCGAAATTGTTCGGAACTCATCTCGAAAATTTTCCTAATGGAAATAAATTATATTTGTGTTACATAGTTTTTAATTTCAAGAATTGAAAACTCCTAACTTTATCAAAGCTTTGATACAAAAACTCGAGCGGTTTGGATCAAGAATCAAACTAATTTTGGAGTTACGAACCAGAAATGTGATTTGGAATATACACCTTTTTCCAAAAGTTGAAGTTTAAATTTTTAAACAAAAATACCTTAACGAAAACATGAATAATCGACATTCAAAATGTCAATCCCTATCATACACTACAAAAAAACAGTTATATAGCGACGGAAAAATCCGTCGCAAATATAAAGGAAATCCGTCGCAATTAAGAATTTGCGACGGAATGCGACGGAATTATTTCCGTCGGTATACCGCTGTCGCAAACGCATAACGGTCGTTAATCCGTCGCATTTTTGCGACGGAAAAAATCTGCGTTTTGCGACGGAAAGTGACGGATAATTCCGTCGCAATTTGCGACGGAATTTTTTCCGTCGCATTCCGTCGCAAATGTTTTAAATTTTTTTTTTTAAAATATAAACAAATTATATACTATATATACACGTACATATATACATTTTCACATACACATACACCTATATACACATACATTCATACACATATATTCATACACATACATTACACACATGCAAATATATATACACATACATACATATATATACACATATTTTCATATACACAAACACACATACACATTCACACATATACACATATACACATATATACACATACATAAATA